TTCCCCATTTACTAAAAATTTCCCGCGTCACTCTAAAATTGCACCGTGTCACGGGAATGTTTCCCGTCTGACGGTGGGACTTCCCGTGTAACGGTACAGTTTGCCGTGTCGCGGGATACTTTTTTAGGGTTTTTATCATTTTAGGATTCCGTGTTTTCCCTTAACACATTTTTTCTATAAATACCCCCTCATTTCTGATGTACGTGGCATCAATTAATTCTCTGGGTTTTTTCTCTCTTCTATGCTTTAGCCTAAACACTAGTCTACCCTTCTGATTTCAAAATTCCTTCTACAAGTACTCCAAGGAGTCCATACTTTACTCGTGGTTCTGTCCTTAAGCCAAGGCGTGAAAGGTAGAACTGTTTGAGGGTTTGGCCCCAAATCAACCTTACTTTATTTAATTTAATTTAATTATTGTTTTATTATTATTTCCTTGAAGTTACTAACTCGTTTATTATTTTGTAGTTGCAAGCAAACAGAATCAAAGTAAGAATTATGTTCCTTTTATTTCTATTATTTTTCTAACGATTTTATATTGTTGGAATTATTGTTGAATTGTTTCCAATATTAATGTTTATTCTATTATTATTCATGATCACCATATTGCATGTTAAAGGGAATATGTAATTGAAAATCACGCCTAATAAGATAATTTGGACGACCGATTTAGGTTCCTTTTTAATCTTATTGTTAATTGAAGTGATCACGATATATTAGAATTATATGTTGCATTAATATTAAACCAATTTAGCTTAATAATAGTTTGGAGCAAATTGAATTTTGTTTGTATGCCTTTGAGATCGCAGGAATCACTTTTCACAATAAGAATCGAGTAGAGGCCAATACGGGCGAATGTGACTCCATGACTCACTTCGTACCATCATCCCCGATCCTCCTTTTGTGGTTCCGAACCATATGGAGTTAGTAATCTCATGGATTATGAATGGGGTGTAACCTTCACGGGTCAATCGTTGTTGCCTATCGTTGTCCCTTATCGTGGTTGCCTTTTCATGATCCATGAACGGTTTACAAGTTCCTTAAAAACTTGTTGGCGGCTCCCTACTTTATTTGTCCCTAATCGTATTATGTCAATTCCTACTTCTCAAGAGTGCCAAGCATATTCACCACATGCTTTAACATAGGCGCACTTCGAGCGACGCCTACAATAGTTGACACTTGTTGATTTATTACTAGCTTGCTTAAATAATTTTATTTTACCTTTAATTAAAATAAAATGTGAAAATCTCACTATCCCACATTGATGGGAGAGACAATCACATTCTCATCATTTCCTATAAATACCCAAGTAAGGGCATTGGAAATGATGCTTGAGTAAGAGTTGGAAAAGGGATCACTATTAGTGAAAACCTTTGAACTCAAGAGTTGGAAAAGGTATCACATTTTGTGAAAGCCTTTGAACTCAATTACTCGGGTTTTATCGGTCGAGTCTTGCTAACCCCAAGACATTGGACCTAGTCGGTGATCGTTGTTGTGGGTGGATCATCGTTGGAGGCTTCGTAATTTCGAAGCTAGCTTTCAATTAAGAGCCCAAGCGGTCGGGCAAAGCACGCTCCAAAGATAATCGTTTTATCTTAATCTTGTTATTATGTTTATGGTTTTATTTATTGCGAGTGCGATCTTGTTTTTGGGTTTGTTTCCGCGGTGAGTCGGACTCACCAAACCCCAACATAAATAAATTTGAAATTTTAGTTTAAGTATATAAAATAACCCCATAAGCATACTTACTTGAAACTATCATTATATAGCAAGTTAGTGTGTTAAAAACCCAAAAATATACCAATTCAATGCAATTAGAAGCTTCAAATTAAAAGTATACAAATCTGAAAATTTATACTTGAGGTTGTAATTTAAAGTTCAAAGCTTTTTAATTATAAAATACCCACAATAATTATTTATAGGCTTAGAAGCATAAAAAACAAAAAATTAGCATGACTTGCTCATAAAATCCAAAATTTAATAATCTGAAAATTTATATATAGTCAAAATAATTACACTTTGATGTAATTTAAACATAGTATAATTAGATAACTTAGTTAGTACGTTTTCAAGCCCTAAAACATAAAAATTCAATGTTTAAACCCTATATTTTATACATACACAAATCTGAAAATTTATATAATAAATTAAACATGTCAAAACTCATAAATTTATAATCTAAACATACCATCAAACCATAGTAATATAATTTAGAACAAAATTTTAATTAAAGGTTGAAACTTTAAACAATTTAATTAAGATAATAAAGCAATAAAAAGAAATAAAGGAAGAGAGGAAGGAGAGGGGCGTACGGTAGCAGCAGCAGGCGGCGGTGCAGGGGCGCGGCAGGTGGCGCGGCGGTGGTGGCAGGCGGTAGTGAGAGCGTCGGGTTTGGCTGCAGTTCGACTCTCTCTCTCTCTCTCTCTCTCTCTCTTTTTTGTGTTGTGTGTACGTGAAAGAGGAGAAGGGAAGTAAGGGTTTGGTGTTTATTTGGGTTTTATTCTCCTAGTTTTATTAGGAGTGGAATTTGGGTAGTTTGGGCTTGAATAGAAATCAACTTTAGGCCAATACTTAAAAAAAAGGAGTTGTAAATTAGACTAAAATGGTTTAGCTTACTAGTAATAAAATCTTATTATTTTTATATCAAATAATTCGTATTATAAAATTAAAATAAAAAAATATTTGTATAAATAATAAATAAATATATTAAAAATATGGGGGATTACAATACTAGAAACCGCACATTAGCGCTAAAAATAGCTCCGAAGAGCTCAAATAAACATATAAATGACCGTGGGACGGGGGATAAAATAACATATAAAACACGAATATTATATTGGTTGCAAATGCATATCTTGCTTATGAAAAATGATTCAAAAATTGTCATAGCCAATTATGTAGGTCTCTATTCATAAATTAATTGTTCTAAAGGAAAATCTATGACCTTTTTCATGTTCTTTGAGAAAGTGTCCTTGTTGCCCATCTCAAAGTTTCGGTGCATCAATAGATAAGTTTTCACAATAACACTTTGAGTTCTTTGTTAGAATTTGTACTCCTGAAATTTGTTGTCCGTGGTAAACTTTCATTGTGACACATGGTAGTCTTATCAATGGAGTTTTAAACCATTACTTGAACTCATAAAATGTGTCAGACTTGCTAGAAGTATTTTTAACCTTCTACTTCTTGAATTTGTGCCTTATTGCCTTGGGTGTGCACACATAAGAACTTAACTTAAGAGACCCATGCCTTTCCTTCGAAGTCCTCACTCCGGGGACAAACGATAAATTCAAATAAATATTTGAACTTCTTGGAAATCTTAGTTTAAATTTAGTCCTATTGGAGCTTGGCTTGTTCTCATTTATACAGCTATCATCTTGCTATGGTATATGTTGCTGTGTTAATGGGATTTTTGAAGTAAATCTACTCTTAAATATTATGAATCTGGTAATATTTTCCTATATGTATAGGTATTTGATGGTCATGGTGGAACAAATGAAGCTTCCTTTGTTTGTAGCAACCTTCTCAAGTATATAATTGATGATCCACCGTTTGCGTTTCTGTGGAGAAGGCTAGGAAGCCTATCAATGATGTCATCTGCAATAATTTTGTTACTCTATTGCCAATTAATTGATTTGCAGGTTGATTGATTGATTGATTGGTTAAGTTACTCTATTGCCAATTAATTAATATTTTTTCAATGTAATTTTGTTTTGTATTTTTTCCTAAAGATTTTCATTTTTATTGAATTTTTTTTCTATGTGATTAGATGAAATGTATGATTGTATTCAATAGTACAATAACTACAACTTAGACTAATGTTCTATAGGAAAATGTACATGGAAAAACATTTAACATACAATAAATTTGCCTAATTTCAAAAAGTTATGTTGTCTTTAATGTAATCAATTCACTAACCTTGCTATATACATGTATTAAATTATATTAAGTAGGCAATGCTTTGAAATGAGCTTCAATTTTTTAGCATAAATAATAAGTCGTTCGCAATTAGTTTAGTTTTTAAAATATTACAATCATTGCCAATAGATGCGTAAAGCGTAATCTAATAATCATTTTGCAAAGTACAAGTGTATACATAGTGCATGTTTTTTTTTTCTAAGGAAGAAAATACTTTTTCTTTAAAAATTATTATTATTATTTATTTATTTTTTTTAATTTTTTATTATGAAAGGATAGCTTTTTATTCAACAGTCATTACGAAGTTTTTATTATTATTATTTTTTTTATTTGAGAGGATAACCTATTATCCAATGATTATATGAGTTTTGAATAAGGAAGAACCTATTAACCACCATTGAAATTTATTTAGAGGTGACACAATTAACCTATTATGTTTTGTATTAATCGTAACACTAGGTATTGCATAAAATAAAAGAAAAAAAATAGGGTGGGAGCCAAAAAGTGAATTACATAACAACAACTTTTTGGTGCAGCAGGCCACCATGTGTGGTAGGAATTACTTGAGTTATTTTGTTAGGGGCTACCGGAGTTATTCAGTTAGAAGTTACTCGAGTTATTTGGTCAGGGATTACTTGAGGGGTTTGGAGAGAGGTTACTCGAGGGGTTCACTCGGTCAAGGGTTACTTGGTCAGGGGTTACTCGAGTTACTCGGTCAAGAGTTACTAGAGTTACTCGGTTAGGGGTTACTCAGTCATGGGTTACTCGAGTTAATCGATCAGTAATTAATTGATTTCAATCAAGTGTTACTCGAGTAATCCGGTCAGAGGTTACTCGGTCAGGGGTTACTTGAGGTTTCAATCAGGGGTTACTCGAGGAATGAGTTACTCGATCAGTGGTTATTTAACTTGATGAGGTTACTCGAGTTACTTGGTCAGGGATTACTTGAGGGTTCAATATTTGTTTAGAATGCCTTTTATATTCCAGCCAAATCACAAAACAATAATAAGGAACTAATAATACAATTAAGTCAATGATGCTTTTTTGTTTTTAAGGAAGAAAGAGAACTAGATTAGATAAATATAATAAACATGAGTGACAGATTGTATACAAGTAACACCACCATGAAAACTTTAGTACCAAATACTCTCTGTCCTAGGGTTTGACCCGATTTCCCCCTTTTGATTTTCTCTCTCCTCCATTGAAGCATTTTACGAGCTCCATACTCCATTTAAGATTGATGTGTTTTTTCGTTCTCAAATTCTCCATTAAAGCAACTAGTGAGCTTTAATTTGTCTTCTCGATGAAAGTGTACTCTCAATTCTCCATTAAAAGCAGCGTTTGAGTTTTTCTCTCGGCGTGGTGAGCTTGCTCTCTCCTTCACTGAACCGACTATCACTCCTCCATTGAAGAAGCTTTTGAGCTTTCTCTTGGCCTCCATTGAATCAACTTTAATTTGACAGTTTTTTTTTGGTCGAAATTATCAGTTGTATATGTTTATTTTTCACTAAAAAATTAAGTTGAACTACTTCCCTTAAGCTCCATACTCGGGCGGCTTTCTTGTTCTGCTCCACAACTTCTCCTTCCTCCTGCATAGCTTCTCCTCTAAGCATTGCAATCAGCATTGCTTTTGGATCATGAAGGATGTTTTGAAATTCAGCAAAAACGGTTCTATCGAGTTTTAAAGGTGCGTAAATCTTCCAATTAGGGGTCTTCTAATTATCCCTTTTCTATTTAGTTCAATAAGAAGCTTAAAATTCGAATTAAATTTTTGTTTATTGTCAGTTACTTGATTAATTTCAAATCAAATTGGATGATTAAGAACTAAGAAAATTAGGTTTCATGAATAATTTCGATTTAATCAAAACGGAGATGTGGTGGTCGGCAAGAGGTGAGGGCAGTGCTGCTTATTGTGGTTGTTGGTTTGCGGTGGGGAAGACGGTGGCAGAGGTGCGGCTGTTGCAGCAGGTGGCTGCTTGCGCTGTTGGATGGTGCGAGGAGTAGGGGATTTGCTGCTGTTATTGTTGTTGCCAGCGGCGAGGAGGGAGGGGATGAGGCTGGTGGATGCTAGGTGGCTGCAATGTGTTTTGCTGTTGTTTAGAGGTGTCATTGTTGTGTGGGTTGGCGTGAGGTATGGTGTGCATGGGTTGAGGTGGCAGTGGAGTTGTAGGCTGGAATTTGGGATGCCTTTTGTTGATATGATTGACTTAGCTTACTTGACTTAGCTGCTTTCTCTGTGTGAAGTGTGGTATGCTATTTGCAATTTATGATATCTCATGGGCAGATTTTGATTTTGATTCAGACTTGCTTTTTTGTTTAGATTTTAGTATCTTTGTTCAATTATATTTAGGCATGAAGCTTATACTTTTTTTTTTTAATTATTATTTTAATAACTGAATAAGTGATGAAAGTATAGCCATATGTGCTGATATTAGGTTTCATGAATAATTTGGATTTAATTAAAACGGAGATGTGTTCGTTGGGGCTGTTGTCGACCTAGTGGTGGTGATGTGTTCGTTGGGGCTGTTGTCAACCTAGTGGTGGTGTTGTGTGTTTAAACTCATGAGTTGGTTTAATTTTGTTAATTATGTCGGTTGTTCATCTTCAATTTTGCGTTAATATTGTCTTTCAATTAATGTAAGAAGGTTTCTTACATGGTTGCTTGTTTTAGCTCCCTTTAAAACCAAGAGTTTTTCTTTTGGTATGCATTTTTCTTTCTATTAAATTTTGTCACAGGCTATCTGGTTGGAATATTTCCAACTAAAAAAATGGTATCTACTTTAGTTTGACAAAAACTGTTGTTATGTCTACAACTTATTCTTTAATTTGCTCTGCTCCTTTGGTAATATATACGAAGTATTATCAATATTTTTTTTATATGTTGTGATAGAGAATTGAATTTCCAATGTTCTTGTGGTTGGTAAATAAAATAAATTAAAGATCGACTTAGATTGGTGCGACGTGATCTGATAATGATTTATACTGTATAAAATATTGATATTGTTAGCAGAATAAGAGCGTAAAAAGAAAAAAGTTAAAAGAAAGAAAGTTAAACTTTACTGGGGCGTTGCTTTGTGAAAAGCCTTACTTAAGAGATGGAGATTAGCTATTCTGTAAAAATTAAGTCCTCTAATTTATGTCAGAGAAAATTGAGGAAAAGGTGATGTTACCCCATTATGTGTTCCTACTACTTATCATCATCAGATAGAGAGAAAAAGTGATGGAGAGAAAAAGTATGGCTTGAGTTGGCTGGCTCTTCAAGTAACTAGCATAACTAAGATGTCTAATATGTGCCCATGTTACACAGAGGTCACAGCAGAACTAACTCTCCTTGATGTTATTTTGTGTTATTTCTACTATAGATTTCTAGTGACTTGTTTGAACAAAATCAAAGTTCCTAGAGCCAAGGGTGTACATTTGTAGTTGAAATTTTGCTATGTTTGATCTCAAACAAATCTGTCATCAATATGTGAGTTCATCCTACAAAATATTATATCATGCTCTATTTGTAGGAACAACTTGCTAGGTCTGCTATGTCATATGTTAATTTCTTTGTTTAATCTTGTTAAAACCATTCAGTTTTAGGGATTTATGTCTGCTAACATTCATTTTGATGAAGGTTTAACAGATAAAGGTTTTTATTGGGTTACACTAGCTGAGTAAATGTGTGCTGCAGTTAGTTTTGACGTTAGAGACTGCAGTTAGTTTTGATGTTAGAGAGGTATGACCATTAGGGCAGTAAGTAAATGGTTTATTCTAATAATATTTCAGACTAAGAAGTTCTCTTAGGCTGGAATTAAGATATCAGTTAATAGTTTTATTTGTTAATTTCTTTGTTTGTGGCTCGTTTTGTGAAGCATTTTGCTTTTATCGTAGTCATTAATGCCAAAATGGTTAAGTAAGAGATGTCTAGCAGATCTTATGCTATATTTTCTTCATAGATTTTCTCAGTGACATAGATTATTGGTGTTTTCATGCATACATGGGAGGCATGTGATATAATTGTAATTAAAGACGGCCATATCCCTAAAATCGAGATCCCTAAGCATTTTGGAGTACACATGGAGTCCCTGTTCCGCCACAGAACTTGGTTCTTGCCCTCCGAGCTTTTCCACCAAAACGAAATTTTCTATTATTTTTAAAAATAAATTAATTTTATTATGAATGGATCATATATATTAAAGAACTTTTAAAACTAAATTTTATAATGGAAATAAATCCGAGTTATTTTATATTTATTAAAAGTTATGATTAATTTTGTATACATGAAATATTAGAAGTATATCAATAATAAAACTCTGCACATTATATGAAATTTTTATGTTAAAAAATGTATCCAAAATACCCTGATTTATTATGTGTCACAATAATACCTACTTCTTCCGTTTCTATTTAGTTGATACGTTCAATTAGGCACACATATTGCAAAAAGGAGAGAGAATGAGAGAAAATGATAAAGCAAGTGGAGACACTAGTAAATGTAAGGTTTAAAACTTTCCCAAAAAGGAAACATGTCAACTAAAAAAAAACTTCCTTTAAATGAATACATGTCAACTAAAAAACGGAGGTAACGTGATACGACACTTGACGAAAAACTGGAATGCCAAGTGTCGTCGCATGGCCAAGTTGCGAGATTTTGTTTTATTTATTAGTGATATATTTTCATATTTATTAGATTTGTCTAACTCACTCTTTCATTACATTTCATTTGTCATTAACTATGTATATGCAAAATAAGAAGAAAATAAATATAATTGTACTTTTAAAAATACAATTTATTTTTGAAACAAACCCACAAGGGACTTAGATTAATTTAACAGATCATTCGAAGATACAATCAAAATATGATTCGGGATAACATCTTTTCACACTCTTTGACCAATCTCCCATGATTGAAATCTTCTTTAATTAAAAAGTGTGAAATTATTCTACATAACATGAGAATTAACCTAGTTATCTATCTATCTATCTATACTATATATTAAAAGGCGTTCCAAATGAAATTTAGGTGTCACGTGACATCTTCCTCGAGCAACAATGCAAGTCTTTCATTTACGTGCTTAAAAATATGGTGTGTACCAAATTTGAACACACAACCTTTAAGTTTTAAATGCATCGTGTTAGCCACTAAGATAGGGTTCGTTTGTCATTGTTGTGGTTTTCTGTTTTTTGTTTTTTGTTTTCTAAAAATATATGATATGAGTCCCATAATGAATAAAAAATTATATAAACTTATTAAAATTATGATAATTTTGAAAACTGACAACAGAACAGCGGAAACACCTTTTTCTTGTTTTCTGTTTTTGGTTTTAAAAAAAAAGGAAATTGAAAACCAAAATTGATGCCAAACAAGCCCCTAATTTATTTGTTGTATGTCATTCTATAAAATTAAATATAAATATGGAATTCAGTCATGAAATTAATATAGTAACTTGGGGCCGGGTTTAAAAACTAGTTGTACAAAGTAAAACAAGTACTCCGTAAAGTATTTGAATAAAAAAATGGATCGAAGATTAATTTAGTATCAGCTATGTGAGTTATCTAGAAAATAAATACTCCTTCTGTTTTTTTTTTTTTTTTTTTTTTTTTTTTTTTTTATGCATCACTTTGACAATTGCACTATTCACATACCATGATTGACTTAATTTTTTCACCTCTAAAATATAAATAAATATTATTATATAATAGTATATCATTAGATTAGTCATAATGTCTAGTTTCATAATATAATTTTGCTGTAGTTTTTACTACTCGTAATAGACAATTAAAGATATTAATGGTTAAAATTGAGTGTCGGCAAATGTACCTGTTAAATTGATGTATTAAAAAAAGAAAAAAAAAACAGAGAGAGTAATCCTACATTCCTACTCGTAGTAAAAACTACTCCCGTAGTAAAATATAATTTGAAACGCTTAGTAAAAAGAATCTAAGCAGCAAATTTCAAGAAAAACATGAGCACTGATGAAGGCAAAAACCCTCCACATGCTCACCCAAAAAGGGAGATTACACTATTTTTTGGAAGTTATTTTTCCAAGCTACATTAATACGCATGTTCAAGTTTGTTTGTTTTTTTTTTTTTTTTTTAATTTTTTTTTTAAGGAATTAAGGGTCCCTTTCCTTGACGCTACAATTATTACCCTTTGTAAATCATATTTAATTCGTCATTAGAAGCCATAAAAAGTTACAGCAAAACGCTGTCTCTTTGTTCCCTTTATACTTTAGTACATTATAGTGTAATGATTAATATCCCCCTTATTAAGGTCCAATTTTGGAAACTTCTGCCTCTTGCTCTTCTTGAGCTGGGTTTTTTGTTTTTTTGATTTTTTTTTTATCCTTTATCAATTTTGAAAGAAGAATCTTTGAGGAGTAAATAACACTTGATAGTACTAAAGTTTGCAAAAAATTTCACTAAGGTGTTGAAGTTTCAAAAGTTTCAATGAAGGTACTCAAACTTTCAATCTAACCGGTTTCCCCCTTCTTGTTCCTTAAAAAAAAACAACAAATTAAACAACCTGGGTTTTTGTTCGAAACATCTCAAATTAAACAACCAACAAACATTTGAATCAATTTCTCTCTCCTCAATTCAACCCCGCCAAAATCTTCATGCTCTAAGCTGAATTTCAATGGCGGACAAGCAACTTATACTTGTTGTTGAAGGGACTGTGGCTTTGGGTCCTTATTGGAAAACCGTTGTTTCCAATTACCTTGATAAGATCATCAGGTTTTTTGCTAAATTAGGGCTTTTTAATTTCATTTTGTTGTTGCTCGATTGAATTTTTCTGTTTAATTTTTTGTTTTGTTCGAGTGTAATTTAGGTTTTTATTTTGTTGAAAATGATCGTGATGGTGTTTGTGGTAATTGTTGGTTGATTAAATTATGGTTGATTGGATGAATTGCGATTTTGAAACTGTTTGATTTGTGTTGTTTTACTAAATTGTTGACTGTGTTTGGATTTTGAGTGAAATTAGATTATGCTGCTATGCTGTTTTTGGTCAAATTGAATGCAATTTTGTTGTGAATGAATGAATTTTTGTTATTTTTTTTGTTTGAGTGTAATTTGGGTTTTGATTGGTTGAATATGATCATGATGATATTTTATGGTAATTATTGGTTGATTTAATGATGGCTAATCGGATGAAATGCGATTTTGGAACGGTTTGATTTGTGACTTTGTGTTATATTACTAAATTGTTAATTGTGTGGATACTGAGTGATATTAAGAAGACTAGATTATGCAGTAAGGCTATTTTGATGATATTTTTGGCCTAAGTGAATGAAATAATGATGTTTAGCTTGTATGAGGAACGAGTGTCATGAAAGCAGACTAGATTCTGCAGAAGGCTATGTCAATGAGTTTTTCACCAAGGAGAAGTGCATGAAAGCGTATGACTTTCTGCATGAGATGGTCCTCAAGAATGGCCACAAGCATATGATTTTGAATTTTTGGAACTGCTGCGTGTGATTTTATGGCAATGAGGAAGAATTTAAATGGAAGCAAGTAATTTTTTGAGGTCTAACGGCTAGTTTGTAACAACCAAAATCATTGAACCCAAGCATTAGTACCTTCTGCATTTATGTCAGCATTTTTTTTTTATTTTTTTTTGCAAATGTTTACGTGTTGTAGTAGGTTACTTATGGGTTGAGTACTTTTTTTGAAACTTCAGTACCTTAAGTGAAACTTTTTGCAAACTATAGTACTCTAAAGTGTTATTTACTCGATCTTTGAGGTGTTAGACCTAATTTTTGTGTGTGTGTGTGACGAGGGTTAAATCGGTCGCTACAATCTAACTCTCAATCAAACAATACTTATACGAACACCCTATAACCAAGTACAATGGCAAATAAAGGTTCGGTCCACGAGGAACGAGAGTAATTGCAAATCAATCTTAAACCTAAGCTAGTTCGAAATCAATGGAAAATGGTGTTCTAAAATACTACTAATAAGATGTAATAAATCAATAAACTAAGACACTAGGGAGAACGGGAATCCGCCTAACCATTGGTAACTAAGCAACAAGGAATCACAGAGACAAACGGGATATGCAAAGACTATAAGTCTGATCAATATCATGTGATAGGAAGACAACGGGCAATACTAAGCTTGGATTTCTCATGCACTTAACATTACTCGATACATAATCAAACCACATTCAATAATGAAATACTCAATTCACAATCTCTTGTTCAAATCAAGAATATCATGCAATCAAATTCAAGATTCTAGGTTAGCTACTCCTATTATAATGAATTAACATGCAATCGCATATAATCAATTTAATCACAATCCGTTTATCAAAATCAATCCTCAATTACATAGATTACCTAGGCCGGGTTTCATCCCGAAACCCTAGCTAGGAGACTACTCACACATATTCATAATCAAAGCAATAATGAATTCCAAAAGCATAATAGATATAAACATGAATTCTGATTAAGGAATAATAAAGCTTGATTAATAAACAAGAATGAATAATACCAATTGTATTGATGCGAATCAATGGAAAAGTTCAGAACTTTGATATCCGTCGTCAATGAATAATACAAAGAATCTTCGCAAATCTTGCTTCAAATCAATCCAAGAAAACTAAAATCTCTAGAAATATCTCTAAGAAAACTAATGAATCTCTAATACTAAGAACGTTCTCCAATAACTCTCTACAAAGGCTCTCAAAACTATCTCTAAAAAACTGTCTGCGGAATCCTCTTAAAGTTGGGCCTTATATACGTCTTCTAATGCGGAGAAGTCAAGCGCGCAGTTAACCCTGGATCAGCACGGCCGTGCTGTATTTGGCACGGCCGTGCTAGCTTGTCAGTAAGTAAACCGGATTTCTTCTTCAAATTGGCACGGCCGTGCTAAAAATGACACGGCCGTGCTGAATATGCTCTAGCACGGGGCTCATACTGAAGCTGACACGGGCACGGGCAACATCTGGCACGGCCGTGCTAATGGCCTGCACGGCCGTGCAGGTGCGTGGATACTGACACGGCCGTGCTATTGGCTTGCACGACCGTGCTGCCTTGCCTGGGGTTGCTTGCTTATAGGCCAGCACGGGTGTGCCTATGGTAACACGGCCGTGCTGCCTGTGCTATGTAATCAATGCACGGCACTTGAACTTCCTTAACTCCTCGGACTTCGGTCAAGGCTAGCTCGGTTACGCATCAAGGGCTCGGGATCCGATTAAACTCGGTTGATATTACCTGAAAACACATCAAAAACAAACCGAAAACCCGTGAAGCACGTAATATGGGGAACGTAAGCATAACAAGGTAATAATCGGCCAAAGCGGCCCCAAATACATCCAAAATCATCCTAAAATATGCTCTAAAGCGCGCCCTAAAGTGCGCTTGTCAGTGTGTGGTGTTTTTTTTTTTTTTTTTTTTTTATTTATTTTTTCTGGGTTTTGCTTGTTTAAGCAGTTTGTTTTGTGATTGGAATGAACTGGGTTTTGTTTCTTTACTCGTTGATTTGCTCAAATTTTGGCTGATTTTACATTTAAAATGGGTGATTTTGTTGAGGTTTAGGGTTGATTTTGATGCAGAGTTGCTTATTAAAGAGGCTACATTTGATTATGTGTTGAAATTTTAGGTTTTGGTAAATTTGATTTGAAGGGTGCTTATTTGTGTTCTCTGAAGAAGGGAGCAAGTTACTGTCACTTTGATTTTTGGACTGCATCGTGGAAAAAATGGCTTGTGTGAAGTTGGGATCTAAGAGTGATGCATTTCAGAGAAAAGGGCAGGCATGGTAATGGTTTCTCTCATTTTTTATTTTTGTTTCATTCTATATTATTCAATGCTTTGATATTATTGCTGTTATAATCCCGAATTAGCGGCCTCTTCGGGTTAGGAATATTAGGATTAGTGTTACTTCTTTTACCTCAAGTATATGTGCTCGATATTCAATACCAAGACTAGGGCAAGATAGAATGAATAATGCATTATCATAAAATGTTTGTATATGACACTTTTAATCAAGCTAAAGTAATTTTGTCAGGGTTGTGATGAATGTTGCCAGTTTGTTCGTTTTATTTTGGTGATGTTTCGTATCTATATATGTTTCTAGCATTTTTCTTCAGGGAAGAGTGTTAAAAATTGTAACAGAAGAGTAGGTAGACTGATAGATAAGAGGAATATAATTGTTTCTCTCTAAATCAGGCTTTTTGTTAGAACTTGGGCTTGTTGGTTTTTAGTGGCCTTATATTAGGGCATACTTTGTTTAAGACTTCATCATGGAGCTAAATTATAAGCTATGTCATCTCAACTTTTATTTTGTTTTATGTATCTGTTTGGACTCTCAGGCTTGTGGGGATTGAGATAAGAAACTAGCTAACAATATAGTCTTTGTGTAATTATATGTAATCTTCTTGTTAAGTAGGGCTTACATTTCAGAAATGTTGTGTCCTGTCTCCATATCTTTAGATAGCAATTTGGCAGTGATATCCTCGTGCGAGTAACACAGACTGTTGCTCTTAGATTACTCATTAGTTGTGGTGGTGGAATTCATGTCATCAATGTTAAATTGGAAGAAATAAGGCTAAATGTATGATATCAAACAAAAAAAATGTAGCAGAAAATGATAATGGACGAGTTGTTTATGAACTGAGAGAGAGGTCAGTGAGCAAAAGACTAAAAGTGACTGTTTCAACTTCAAACCAAACTGTCATATCTGACTTGAGAAATTTCATTCTTACCAATGTTTTGGAATTGTTGTTAATCATGTGCCCCATTGCTCTTAAAATTACTCCATTGTGGTGGACATATGAAACTTTTCTATATGCCTCACAGAGCCTTAGCTAACTTATGAACTTATATCCACAACTCAAGAAACTTGTTATTGTTTGCATAATTGTATGAGCAGCGTCTGCCATTGGTTCTCGCATATAAGTCTCCTTTTATATATCAAGTTTGCTATCACTTTGAAAAATTGCTCTCTCACTTACAGGTTCTGCACAACTGGTCTTCCAAGCGATATTGTCGTTGAAGTTGGAGAAATGTCTTTCCATCTCCACAAGGTAATTTGCACCTCTTTTCTTCCTTTTCTTTTGGCAATTTTCCATTTAATTTAATCAACTTGCCATTGATGAAAATCTCTGTTTTCTAGTTTGCACTGATGTTAACTGTAATATGTTTTTGTTGACTGTATGATAGCTTTAATCTGTTTTCTCTCCGTAATATTCTGAGAAGTTTTAATCACATAAACAAGATGGTTTTCTAGAAAAGATGATTTATTGCAGAGGTAGTTTATAGGATCGAGATAAATTCAATGAACCTTTTCGTTGTTATTACTATCTCCATTGGAGGAATATAAGGGTTAAGGAAGTGTCAACCAATACATTGTAGCTTGCTTAAGCATTTAAATTTGCTTATTTTTTCTACAAAATGTACTATAATTTCTTTCTAAAATAAGACTAGCTATGCAGTATGCTCTACCATGTCAAAGACATTATGTACAACCTTGAAAAATACTTCGTAATTATTCAACTTTTAACCGTGTCAAATTAGATCTACCAATCATAAAGCCAGGTTAAACCAATAATATAGGTAACAAAATGGTTATAATAAGTCAACAACAAGACAAGAGTTTAAATTTCGGAAATTATTGTGTTTATTTCCTCTCTTTCATTTAGCCCTTTTTGCAACATGAAACTTTTAGTTTTATATATATTGTGCAAAAAGTTTGACTAAAATTCGATGTGCATATATTGTAAACATAATGTGCACTATTCTGTTTCTCGAGAAATTGAAAATTTTTATTAGTTCAAAAATAAAATTAGCACATTTAGTAGAAAAAATATGCACACTCAGTTTAAAATATACAGACATTCATCTCTTCTCATAGTAAGAAACTCCTCATGAACTGTACAAACAACTAATTAATTTTGCAATATGCACCAAACTTAAGTTGTGGTGCTCAGGGATATATCTTTATTGAATAAGGATCAGATATGAGTAGGTTAACTTTAAGTTCTGGATAAATACTAGGTTTGGGATCAAATGCCATTTCTCTTTCTATATAGTTGGCATAAATATACGATTAAGGTGGCTAAACCATTAATGTTCTGATTTAATTGTTTAAAAATATTATTCTGTCCATAGTGAGTTTGTTATAGAAACCATCTAAGTTCAAGATTTTTCATTTTTTCATTTATCCATTTGAGGGAAAATTTGCTTATTAGCTTGAAATATTCTTAATGATCTTACACTCTATGTCCACACTTGTAAGGTGTTAATACCTTCTTCCTTTTTTCTCGCCTAACAAATATACCATAATATTTAGATGAGCTAATAGCGTACTAAGAAATCACATGATTATTGCAGAACCAAATATCTGTTAGCATTACTGTTCGAAAATTAAACAGAAAGATGAGAATTTGTAGTTTTGATTTTTGACACTTGCATAATCTAGTTTATGCTGATAATGCAATCATGCTAGATGCATTATATGTGGTTCGGACTAGGTTATATGAGCATTGATGTAAGGATTTCCATGTTATTTTTATTGCATTCTTGGTAGTGAACTTTAAGATAAAACTTATGCACCTAATGTTGTTTTTGCTTCATGTCCTTTTTTTTATTTATTTGTTAATTTTTTTTGGGAATTTCTTAGGTGGGTTATGAGATTTTGATGGGTTTGCGATTACGTTTGTAATGTATTCTACATAGTTTTGGATGGATTATTACGTATTGCTGTGAAAATAAAAGAAAAAACAAAATTTCTACATGTATTCTATTTTTTTATGCCATGAGTCCCATGACATATTTCAGAACTTTGCTGCTACAGTTTCCTTTACTCTCACGGAGTGGTGTCATGGAAAGATTAATTGCTGAAGCTGTTGAAGGAGAAGAGGGTTCTGTTATAAGCTTAAGTGATTTGCCTGGTGGAGCTAAAATGTTTGAACTTGTTGCGAAGTTCTGTTATGGTGTGAAACTTGAACTTACATCCTCAAATGTTGTATACTTGCGCTGTGCTGCTGAACATCTTGAAATGACTGAAGAGTATGGAGAAGGTAATCTGATTTTTCAAACAGAAACATTCTTAATTCAAGTGGTCCTCAAAAGTTGGAAAGAGTCTTTGAGAGCTCTCCAAACATGTGATAATATACTTTCCTTTGCTGATCAACTCAACATTACAAAGAGATGTATTGAAGCATTGGCTGTCAAGGCAAGCACTGACCCCAATCTATTTGGCTGGCCTGTTGTGGAACATGGTGGCCCAATGCAAAGTCCTGGTGGCAGTGTTCTGTGGAATGGCATTAGCACAGGTGCGAGACCTAAAAATTCAAGCTCGGATTGGTGGTATGATGATGCGTCAACTTTGAGCTTCCCTCTTTACAAGAGGCTGATATCAGTCATGGAATCTCGGGGCTTGAAATCAGAGATTATTTCTGGATCCATTGCTTATTATGCTAAAAGATATCTACCTGGACTAAACCGGCGGCAAGGTGATTCCAGCTCCCGTCTCGGGCCTCCATCTATGTCAAGTCCACCGTCTGAAGAAGACCAGAGGTTATTGGTTGAAGAGATTGACCGATTGCTCCCCATGCAGAAGGGGCTTGTCTCAACAAAGTTCCTTTTTGGCCTACTTCGAACTGCCATGATACTTCGAGCAGACTCAGCTTGCCTATCAACTTTGGAAAAGAGAGTTGGAATGCAACTTGATCAAGCAAATTTGGAAGACCTTTTGATGCCCAACTTTTCTTATTCTATGGAAACTCTATATAATGTGGATTGTGTACAGAGGATTCTCGAGGATTTCCTCATTATGGATCAGGCAAATGGGGGTGCCTCCCCTTGTTCCATTGATGTCGGACAATTGATAGGCTCACCTTCTTTGACCCCTATTACAATGGTTGCTAAATTAATTGATGGGTACCTTGCTGAGGTGGCACCTGATATTAATCTAAAACTTCCTAAATTCCAAGCCCTTGCTGGAGCTGTTCCGGAGTTTGCAAGGCCCTTGGATGATGGCCTTTATCGTGCTATTGACATATATCTTAAGGTAATTTTAAATAATTACATACTTTGTATCTATTTTGTTGCATCTCTTCTCATGGAATCTGGTTCACCTGTTGATTATTAATCAAAGTATCCTTTTCAGAAAGCATTTTCCCTCTTTCAGCTTTGGGCAAAACTCATAGATCACCTCTGGCCTTGGGTGTTAATAGCCTTTAACTTCAAAGGCCAATGCAGTTACAATGTTGTACAAATTTACTCATGTCCTTCCTAAGCCTTGTGAGAGGGATCGCCTTAAAAAATCATCAATTTGTATGCTATCTTAAGTTTTTATAATTTTAGTACCCCTAGCTTTATTGGCTTTTGATCCTCCTTTGCATAACCCACCCCCACCCCCACCCACCCATAAAAAAAATAAAAAAATAAAAAAATAAAAAATGAAGAGAGTGTTGAAAGTTGAAGATCTGGTAATGTTCTCAGTACAGTCTATATTTATCGTTTCCTGTATTCTGGCTAATTACCTATTATATTTATTCTTTCTTTCCTTTTGTGATCTGTCTCCTTATCAAGGTATTTGTAAGTTTGTTTATATTCATTTATACCCCATGCCCTATCTTCTGTGTGTCTAATGATGATTTTGTTATATGCAGTCTCATCCTTGGTTATCAGAAGCAGAGAGAGAACAATTGTGTAGGCTAATGGATTGTCAGAAATTATCCTTGGAAGCTTGTACCCATGCCGCCCAGAATGAGAGGTTGCCCCTAAGAATAGTAGTACAAGTCCTCTTCTTTGAGCAGCTCCAGTTAAGGAATTCGATTGCTGGCTGCTTTTTGGTTTCAGAGAATCTTGAAGGCTCCAGACAGTTGAGAAGTGGCGTTGTTGGATCCAATGAAGGAGGTTGGGCTACCGCAGTGAGAGAGAATCAGGTATTGAAAGTTGGAATGGACAACATGAGAATGCGGGTTTCTGAGCTCGAGCAGGAGTGCACAAACATGAGAAATGAAATTGAAAAACTTGGTCGAGGTAAGAGTTCAAGTGCTTGGGGAAATGTGTCCAAGAAGTTGGGTTTCAGGCTCAAGTCTCAAATGTGCAGTGCTGAAGAAGGGTCAGTCAGTAACCAAAGTAGTGTTGTAAGTGGAAAAATTGAAAAGTTGAAGGAAAAGCCAGGGAAGCACAAAAAGAACTTGTAATTTTTCTTCTCTTTCTCATCCAAGCCGCTGCCTCCATTTCTACCAATTCCTTCATTTATTTTTGGAAGCCCGATCAAATTTCACTGCTAACCATCTTTCTATCTCCTGAACTGGAGCAGAATCTCCCAAATTGTGTATTAGTGATTCTACATTCCTTTCCCATCTTTACCAGTGACCACGTCTTTGTAATGAAGTGTACTACATACATACAAGCTGTATTAAACTCGTTGAGTTACATGTGCATTCTTCTTAGGACATCTATTGTAATGAAAAAAAAAAAATCTGTTTTTGCTAGTTGATTAAAGCTTGTGATATAATTTTGCTACATTTTGAGGAGTATAGCTTGTATTTGTAATTGGTTGCTTGAAAATGTTATTCCACAGCTTTTAGCTTGTTGCTCCGTCATTTTTGTTTGGCAAGGTGTTGCATTTGAGTGCAATTTTATGTGATGATCTCCAACTGAAGTCTAGGGACAAGCTTGTTCTTGTGATTACTGTCTACTGCTTGCTGCGTAATATTGGATTTCAGGTCAGCAAGAATTTTGTTTACATGAGAGTGAGAGATAGCTCAAGTGGTTAGAACTTCCCTCTCAATTCTTGGAGGTCATACGATCGATTCTCACCCCCGCCCTTGTGGCTCTCTAAACACTAAAAAAACAAAAAAAAAACAAAATTTGTGAATTTTGTTTATATAGAATACTTGCTCCGAGGTGTTAAAAAACAACTTGATCAGATCAAGTATAGGTTGGTGAGTTTGAGAATAAAGACACGTAGATCAGCAGCCAATGGCATCAGTTATGATAGGAAGTAGTTGAGTACAACAAGTTCCATGACATCTTGATTTTTTTTTTTTTTTTTTTTTTTTTTTTTTTTTTTTTTTTTTTTGACAGTGAGAACAAAGAAAAGAAAACATAAGCAATAGACTAAAAAGACCAAAAAAGACACTCCCGAGCACGAGCCTTTCCAGCCAACCAGTGTGCAGGAGACACCCATTCCCTAGGAACCTTAAGAATTTTACAAGCCGCACAGGTAGACAAAAGAACCCGAGTATCCCGAAGTAACCAGTATAAAGAAACCTCATCTTTCTGTTGTTGGCCTAACATCCGACACAGAGGCTCACAGTCCGAGTAAATAAGAATCCTACGAAAACCACGAGAAAAAGCATTGCGTAACCCCCAAAAACAAGCCTGTGACTGTAAGGCTGAAGAAGAGAGAGAAGCACGGGCCCCTCCTCCTCGGACTGAAGGAGAACCACAATCACGAAGAACCCAACCAGCACCTGCCGAATTATCCGAGGATGACCAAGACCCGTCGCAAATCAAACAAATATCAAACCCCGACGTAGGGTCCCCAGCAAGAGTGGCAGCAAATCCCGAACCAACAGGCCTAGGGCTAGGACCCAAAGTAGAGGAAGGAAGGTGAGAATCCTGAGCCTGCCTCCCTCGCACATTCCACTGAGAAGCAAGAAGCAAAACATCATCGGGAGAGACAGCTTGTTGCCGAAAACGTACATTATTACGGGACAACCATATAGCCCAAAGAAGGGAGAAAAATTGCACCAAGTTCTCCCAATCCTTAGCAGCCGCTAACAACGAGACCATAACAGAAAACCATTGGAGAAAGGGAAGATGAAGAAGACCCTGACTATTGAAATGAAACGAGCTGCGAACCCATAAAAGAGTAACGAAATCACAGTCTCGAAACAAATGGTTGATCGTCTCCTGCTCCCTTCGACAAAAGCAGCAAGTCAAATCCACGGAAACGCCGCGAACAGCTAGAGCTGAGGCAACCGGAATACCAGCATGAATTATTTTCCAGCCAAAGATCTTCCATTTAGGAAGAAGGGGGAGTGCCCAAAATTTCTTCCACCAGGGAATAGGCAAGGACCCCAAAGGAGGACACCTGATAGTCTGCTGAAGTAAGAGAGCATAGGCAGACTTCGTAGAAAAGGAACCATCCTTGGTAAATTTCCAATATACAAAATCATCCATAAGCTCCTGCGGACGATCCAAACTAAGGATCCTGACGGCAGTTGGACTATCAAAAAACCGATGGACTCTCGAGGAGTCCCACGCGTTAGAACGCGGATCAATTATACCAGACACATGAGTCGGAAGATCCGACTAAGATAAACCATCCTTGAATAACACTGGACCCCCAGGAGCCCAGTTGTCGGCTGTTATGTGTACCTTGTCACCTCTACCCACTTTCCAACGTACACCAGAAGAAACAGCCGAAAGAGCCATCTGCAACCCACGACAGCCCCAAGAGGGGCGAGAAATCCGAGCTCTCGGATTGACTGGCAGAGAGGGGTACTTCGAAAACATGAGTCTAGAAACCAAAAGTTGAGGATTTCGAATCATCCTCCACCCTGTATCCAGCAAGGATAGCTGAATTAAAGCAAGCAATGTTGCGCACACCCAAACCCCCCAAACGCCAAACCCTTCCGAGAACCAGACGATCTCCACCAAAAGTTGGCAAGCATGCTATCAAGTTGAGAAGCTACAAAAGACGAAATCTTGAAAACCGACAAGATATGATTAAACGATGCTATCAAAACGAATTTATGATAACCAGTTTCGCTGCTGCTGACAAGCGAAGAGAAGCAAAAGCAGACAACTGGCTAGCAACCTTGTCAATTAGAAACCTGAATTCCGCGACTTTACTCCTTCCAAGGTCAACAGGAAGACCTAGATGAGTACCAAAAGAAGCCTTCGATTGTAGTCGAAGACTGCGAGCTAAAAAATCACGGTAGTCTTGAGGCGTATTCGGGCTGAACTTGACAAAGGACTTCTAAAGATTAATCATCTGACCCGAAGCAGAGCAAAAATCCGAAAGAATGGCCATGACATTGTCACACGCTTGGGGCGAAACTTGGAAAAATAACAGCGAATCATCTGCAAAGAACAGATGGGAAATCGAAGGTCCGCCCCTAGACACACGAATACCAGAAAACAAAGCCTGTTCTTCCGCCCGCCTAAGAGAGGTCGACAACACCTCCATACACAAAACAAATAGATATGGTGACAGAGGATCTCCTTGTCTAAGACCACATTGTGGTCGAAAGGAGGGTGTAAGACTCCCATTCACAAGAACCTGGTACGAGACAGTTGTAACACACTGCTCAATAATATGAACCCAATAAGGCGGAAAACCAAAGGCCCGTAAAACCTGACTTAAAAAAATCCCAGCGCACTCTATCATAAGCTTTATTCATATCCAACTTTAGAGCCGCATAAAAACGTTTCCGAGCTTTAGAAGCATTCATAAAGGATAGAAGCTCGTGAGCTACCAAAGCATTATCAGAAATTAGGCGACCCGACACAAAGGCATTCTGGAACCCTGAAATAAGAGATGGAAGAACCCCTCGCAGACGGCCAGTAATGCATTTCGCTATACATTTGTACATGACATTACATAAACCAATCGGCCGAAACTGAGACACTAACTCCGGCTGAGAAACCTTCGGCAGAAGGACTAAGAAGGTTCTATTCCAGTCCTTCAGCATATAACCATGAGCAAAAAAGTATTGAACTGCCGAGATAACCAAATGCCCAGTATGATCCCAATGAGTCTTGAAAAAAGCCGAAGTAAAGCCATCAGGCCTAGGAGATTTGTCGTTAGCAATATGAAACATTGCAGCTTTAATCTCAGAAGGCGAGAACGGGGCCATTAACATGTCCTTTTGAGACGAGGATAGCGTCGGGAGGCCAAGGTGATCCCAAGAAAAAGGAGGGTCACTCCCAAATGGAGATACATGAGAATATAGATCAGAGTAAAAGGCCTGAATAAGAGAGCGAAGCCCAAGAGAATCCGAAACCAAATACCAGCATCATTCTTCAGACTGACAATCAGATTACGACGACGACGAGCTTGGACCACCGAAAACAGTAATTTGGAGTGTGACTCCCCTCCAGCATCCCATTTAGTTTTAGCACGTTGTTTCCAATAGAGAAAAGCAGCAGTTGCTTCGGCTATCTTCTCTTCCCTAGTATTTAGAAAAAGAACTCACGCCACTGGGGATTGTAATTGAGTAGAAGAAGAAGACAAATCAGAACATAAAGCTTTCCAGTTTATACCCCAAGATTTCCTGTGGCTAAGGCACCAGTCTTTAAGTCGCCCGTGAATAACAGCAAGCCTGCGAGATAAGGTAAAACACGGAGAGCCTGTAAATTTTAAAAGACAGCCGTCCTTAATAATCCTAGAAGTATCCTGAGCAGATAAGCACCAGTTTTCGATTCTATAAGGTCGCCGAACAGAATCTTGAGGTAACGAGTCTGAAAAGATAATAGCTGCGTGATCCGAAAATAGAATCGGTTGATGATGAACAATGGAGTCCGGATAATCAATAAACCAATCCTGAGTTGCATATGCCTTATTTAATCTTTCAAAAGTCGGGTCCACCTCTATTCTATTGTTTGTCCAAGTATAAGAAGGTCCAGAAAAAGGAACATTCACTAACCCCAAATTCAACCGCCATTGAATAAAATCCAAACGTCCTGGAATAAGTGAAGACCCTCCTATTTTATCCGATAGATACTCGACTTGGTTAAAATCACCAATCAACAAAATGTTCGGGTAAGTTTGGACAAATCTAGCAATAGACGACCACACATCTGATCTATCTGCTATATGAGGTGCCCCGTACACAAAGATCACAAATTTTATCACATCACCAACCTCTATTTTACAAACTACAAAGTTTGGAGATATAAACACTGGAACTACACTAAAAGGAGAAAGCCAAAAAATGAACAAACCACCACTTAATCCTACAGCATCTACACCACAACAACCCAAAAAAGGAATAGATGCTAAACTGAGCACAACATTATCCACAGAAACCATTGTTTCCATCAAAAACACCACATCCAAGTGATGGGAGCGGACTAAAGAGCTTAGATACGGAAATTTAGGGGAGTCCTCTTGTCCAAGACCCCTACAGTTCCAGGCAGCAACTTTCATCTCAATTTGGGTGACCCATTACGGGAGGTCACCGAACCCGCTGAAGAAGAAGTTGTAGAAACCAAATCTAAACTGCCCTTGCGCTTCTTGCAAGGTAACAAACAGGGAAAACAACCTGAGCCATGTTGCAACATCGAGACTGGGGGTGCTGATGGTTCCAGTGCACCACCCGAACGCTTTGCAGGGCAATAGTTGGGAACCCATTTCCGCAATTGTTCCCGGCCCCTCTGAATAAAATAAGCAGACTTTCTCCGACCCCTTAGTCTCATGGTGGCAATAGGAGACTTCTCATCTCGATTTTGATTATCATTCACCAGAATATCAAGGTTTGATGGTGATTGAGACAGTGTACAGTCCATAGGAACAACCTCTTCAATCTGATCAGGGAAAACCTTTAGAAAATCATCTTCTTGACTCTTTGTCAATTCCGGAGTAACAATAGAAGAGGAATGAGCATCACATGGTTGGCCCATTTGATTGTTTGAAAGGAATAGATTCATTAAATTAGATCCAGTATCTAAGCCCAAGTCACACATAGAAGGATCCAATTGATGCATAGACACTCTGGAGATATCCGACCCTTATTGAGAATAAGAAGAGGTATGATCGATTAAATTGGGCCCAGGAGAAGATGGTGGATAAGAAATAAAATCAGAAAAGGAAGAAAAAGTAGAATTAAGGGTCCAAGTTGCTGAATGACCGCCCATCACATGGGGTTGATGTGGACCCCAACTCTTACAAGTGGAGCCCATGAGGGAATAAGGATCACCGCCCCTCCAGCTAGAAATTGATAGACTTTGTAGTGATCCACCCCCATGTTTATCTTGATGGTGTGCTGGAGTATTGGAAGTGGGCCAACCTTCCATGAAAAGCCATATATTATCATAATTAGATGCATGGCCAGCACGTGTTGCTTTCGTAGCTTCATGTGTTATAGTCTCTAATTGCTTCTCATTTGCACAATTAGCACCTAAATCTAACTTTAACACTTGATTATCGGTTGGTCGAAATTCATCAGATACACCATTCCCTAAAAAGTCAGTCTGATGGGTGAGAATCCATCGGACATGTAGAGGGATCTTCATCAATATGGAAGCCAAACAGCAAATTTGTCGTCCAAGAGTCCGGGGAGGGACAAATTCCCTTAAGAACAGAGGAATATAAATCTAAATCCATGGGACCAAACACAACCCAACCACCGTCCTCATGAATTTGACGAAAACGATACTCCAAAGGACGCCTTATTTTATCAAGAGATTTCTTACACGTAGTTGTACCATGTCCAACAAAGCCACACTTTTTACAGAATCTAAAAATACCTTCGTATTTAAATTTCACCCACGTGACTTGATTGTCGATCGTGGGAAAATAACAACCAGGAATTAAAGGTAATGAAAGATCAACTAATACTTTAACTCTAGGACGAGGAATAGGAAACTGACCTATGTTCCCGTCAACCATCGTGACATCACCTATGTGAGCAAGAACAGTCGCTGCAACATCAGGTGTGGAGTAACGAAAGGGGAGGCCCACCACACCAACCCACAACTCCACCAAATGAAGATTGAGATTGGGTGGAACTGAAAGCTCTGGTAATCGTTGAAGAACAACCAGACTTCCATTAAAGTGCACCCACCCTCTAGTAGCTAAATCATCCGCATCTTCAGTAGCTCCGCAACAAAACACAAAGTCCTTTCCATAAGGAAAGACAGTGACAGGAGCTCGGAGGTGCCAATATGTTGACACCAAACGCTGAATTAAATGCACTGAGAATTCACGTTCATCCCAAATTCTGCCTATTACACAATTGTCCCACTTAACAGGCACCTCATCATGAAGCTCGGAAGTAGGATTAAAGTACTCTCCTAAATAGTGGGGATAGATAAAGGAACTAGGATGAATATAACTAGCCATATTCAAGAAAAGCTAATCCTAGACTAGACTAAATTTACGAGCAGGCAGAAGAAAGGAGTTTGAGAGTTTCTCTCACTAAGAACTTTCTCTCACTAGAGAGTCGTTTTCGTTATTTTTGTTAAATTTCTGATGCAATTGTTATTTGATAAATTATTTTGTAATCGAGTTTTTGTCTCTGAAAAGAATCTTATAGTAATTTAAGAAAGCAGGAATGGTTTCTATGTATTGAGGATATATTTAGGAAATTATGGGATATATTTTGTGATCATATTTTATGGCTAGAATATCTTTTGTGGTATCTTTGATTACAAAGACTAGAATAGACCCGGTCTACAATAACTTATTATAGACCCAACCTTCTTGTATACTATACGAATGTGATTATATCATACGAGATGTGATTATATTACTACAAAAGTGATTATATCATTTTGAAACTATTATGTAAATGTATAACTCAAAAAGTGAATTTATAATTATAAAAAGTATCAAATAGTAAATTACATCATTTAAAACATGATTTTTAAATTTTATGATCCTAAATATAATTATATAATCTCAATAAATGGTTTAATATGAGATATATAATTCAAAATATGACTCACAAAAAGATAATTATATCATCTAAAAAAGTGATTATATCATCCAGAATGTGATTATATTATTTGAAAATGTCAAATTTTGGGTCTACAATAATTTATTGTAGACCGGGTCCATACAATACTTTCCTAAGAGTTGGACCTAGTTAATTCCCCACATAAACAATTTTTTATTTTATTTTTTTTTATCAGGGGATATAATCGTCTTTTTAAGTACCAGTGAAGGGGTACATGTGTCTTTTCATGTACTATTAGAGGGGTACAAGTGTGATTTCCTCATCAAACAATAAATTCAAGTTGCAAACAATAATTGGACAGCTCACCAAAAGTACTGAATAAATAACCACGCTTTTTCAGTATATTTAGAAAAATGCCACCAGATTAACAAAATTTCGTTTATCTGGCAGATTAACTTGTATTAGCCCCTTTTCTAATTCTATCTTATTAGGGTATTCTTGTATTATATATTGGCTATGATCGTCATCAATGAGAAGGAAACTATTGTGTTTATTTAATTTAACATGGTATCAAGGGCAGGTTGAAAAAAAAAAAAGAAATTTTTTTTCTCGGTGAACTACGGTGGACAGCAGCAACCCACCGCCACCAATTTATGAGTACAATAGTAGTGCTAGTACTAAATCTGCCAACAATCATTATGAATTCAAGTGGGTAATTATTTCCAAGTGAACAATGGCATAAAATTACAAGTTTGGTGGGTAATACCAACATTTTCGAAAATTGTTCGAATAATAAGTTTGATGATACCTCTTGGTTTATTGATAGAGGAACCACACATCATGTTATAGGCCAGAGAAAAATCTTGGTTTTTGATACAAAGAGCTTTGAATGTCTCGTAGGATTATTAAACGGTGAAACAATGTCGACTTCTCTTTATGGTTCAGTTTGTTTGTCGGACAAAATCACTCTAACAAGGATGCTCTATGTCCCTAATTTGAGTTGTAATTCACTTTATGTTTCACAACTTAATGATGAGTTTAATTGTATTGTCCAATTTAACTCACTATGTGTGCTTACAGGATCAAACGAAGGAGTTGCTTGGAACGAGAGCTCGGAGGGACGGATTACACTATTTTAGCAAATCGAATTCCGTGCATCATGTGGGTGCTATTGACGCAAGGTCTAGTTTGGAGATATGGCATCGTCGTATGGGTCATCCTTCCGAGAAAGTAGTTAAGTTGCTTCCTACTATTAATTGCAAAGATAGTTTTGATAAGGGGTGTGAAGTTTGTATGCGTGCAAAACATCCTAGAGATAGATTTCCTTTAATTGATAATAAAGCGTCTAGAATATTTGAGAAAGTTCATTGTGATTTATGGGGTTCATATCGTCATGTTTCGTCATGTGGAGCCCTTTATTTTTTTGACAATTGTTGATGATTATTTTAGAGCAATGTGGATACATTTGTTGATTAATAACAGAGGTGTCTCGTATGTTTTTGTCGTTTGTTGCTATGGTAGACAAATAATTTTTCCAGACAATTAAAATTGTGCAAAGTGCCAATGGTATTGAGTTTAATTGTTTGCTTGATTTTTTTTGCTGCCACCGGGATTATTTTTCAAACCTCTTGTGTGGGTACACCGAACAAAACGGGAGGGTAGAGAGAAAACATAAACACATTTTGGAAGTAGGGAGAGCCTTGAGGGTTCAAGCCTAATTGCCCATTTATTTTTGGGGTGAGTGTGTTCTTGCTGCGGCTCACTTAAATTAATCAAACTCCTACTCCTTTACTTAAAAAAAAAAACTCCATTCGAAATCCTTTTTAATAAACCACCTCATTTTGATACTATTCGCACGTTTGGGTGTCTTTGTTTTACTCACAATCAGAAAACAAATGGTGATAAATTTGCAAGTTGTAGTAGAAAATGTGTTTTTATGGGTTTTCCCTTTGGCAAGAAGGGTTGGTTATTGTATGATCTTGAATTAAAAAAAATTTTGTGTCTCGAGATGTAAAGTTTGTTGAGGGTGTATTCTTTTATGATAGTCCGGAGGAGGTGAATATAGTGCCACATGGTGACACAAATGGTGAAGTACATGGGGATTTTTTGGAGTATGATGTGTTTGATGATAATTATGGAGATTCAGGGGTGGAAATTAGTGGTTCAAATGGAGTTATGCAGGCTTCCCCAAGCATGGATCAATTAGCCCCACACACGGAGCAGAATACTCACTCAGCTTCTGCTTCCCCTGCGGGGTCAGCAGCATCGCAACAGCAGCACAATGCTAGTCGTGGCAAGTCTCACAACAACAACACTTCAACTTCAATTATAGAGCATTCTGCTTCCCGGCGAACTAAGAAATTCTTTGATTCGTTCAAGCGATGGGCTACGCAAAGGTTACGAAGTCACTGGACGTTAAAAGAGTCCAGGGAGACTGCTACTGCCGAGCAGCATCAGGCTCACACCGACCAGCCCATAGTTGCTGAGCCGCTTCAATAGAAGGCCTTGGGAAGGGGTCTTCATGAGAAAA